CCATTCCCCACCCCTTTTCCCCCGGACCCGGCTTTCCTATACCCTCTCTCCCCGGACCGGTTTTTTTTCCATTACCCCTCCCCCCCGGACCCCGCTTTCATATATCCGTTTCCCCCCGGCCCGGGGCATTCACTTACCCCCCTCCCCCCCCGGGCATTCACTTTTAACCGCTCTCCCCGGCCCCCGGCCCATTCCCTTATCCCTCTCCCCCGGGAAACCCCGCATTCACTTATCCCTCTCCCGGACCCGGATTCACTATACCCGTCTCCCGGGACCCGATTTCACTATATCCGCTCTCCTCGGATCCCGCATTCACTATATCCGCTATCCCGGGAACCCCCCCGCATTCACTATACCGCTCTCCCCGGGGACCCAGCATTCACTATAAACGCTCTCCCCGGGTGAGTCCCTGATTCCACTCATACCGTCTTCCCCGGACCCCGAATTCAATTATAACCCGCTATCCCCGGACCCCGGAATTCATTATATTCCGCTCTCCCCGGACCCGGCATTCACTATAACCAGCTTCTCCCAGGACCCCGCATTCACTTTACCACCGCTATCCCGGGATCCGCCTTCACTATATCCGCTCTCCCGGCACCCCCGCATTACTATATCCGTCTCCGGACCCCGCATTCACTATAATCTCTCTACTCGGACCCCGCATTCACTTTATTCCTCTATACTCGGGATCCCCGCAATTAACTATATCCGCTCTACCCGGACCCGCATTCACTATATCCACTCTCCAGGACCCCGCATTCCCTATATTCCTTTCCCCGGACCCCGCATTCCTTTATCCGCCTCTCCACGGACCCCGCATTCCCTATATCCAGCTCTCCCGGGACCCGCATTCACTATATCTGCTATTCCCCGGACCACGCATTCCCTAATCATCCGCTCTCCCCGGACCCCCGCCATTCCCTATATCCGCTCTCCCAGACCCAGCATTCCCTATACTATGCTCTCCCAGGACACTGCATTCCCTATAGCAGCTCTCCTGTGGCCATATCTATTGCTTTGACCAATAACAATGGTGCAGAGCGCTAAGCGAATTGTGGGGTGCGAGCTGGGTGCGAACAGACCGCCGAATACCAATACCATTTGTGTATTCATTGAACACATGAATGGCCATGTTTGAGTAAAAAATGTAGCCCAACATTAGCCACTAGGATCGCTTTTACATTACAGAGTATTGACTGCTGAAAAAAAAGATACCGGGATGATGACTGTAGATTCTGGCATCATCCTGGTATCTCCACTCAAAAGTCGCAGGGTTGTCATGGTTGGACGTCCTACAGACAAGAAGTGGTTAAATGATTTTATGTGATGTGTATTATGTTTGTATTATTTGTATCACTCCTCAAACTGCACTGTATTGCCACAAAGTATTGCCCCCCCCCCCCCCTCCATATCATGTGATTCAAGGTGTTCCAATGCCCTCCATATCATGTGATTCAGGTGTTCAATCCCCTCCATATCATGTGATTCAGGTGTTCCACATCCCCTCCATATCATGTGATTCAGGTGTTTCAATCCCCTACATGGACACAGGTGTATACAATCAAGCCCATAGGCATGCAGACGGCTTCTACAAACATTGGTGAAAGAATGGGTTCGCTCTCAGGAGCTCAGTGACTCCAAGCGTGGTCCCGTGATAGGTGGGCACCCTGGGCAATAAGTCCATCCGTGACATTTCCTGGCTACTAAATATTCCACGCCTCAACTGTTAGTGGGATTATAAACAAAGTAGAAGCAACTGGGAAACAACAGCCACTCAGCCACCAAGTGGTAGGCACGTCACATGGACAGGGCGGGGTCTGCGCATCGCATGCTGAAGCTTCACAATGCGCAGAAGTCACCAACTGTCTCTGCAGACGGGCAATAGCTAAAGACCTCCCAAACATGGTGTGGCCTTCAGATGAGCCAACAACAGTGCGGTAGTTAGAGAGCTTCATGGGAATGGGTTTCCATGGCCGAAGCAGGCTGCATCCAAGCTACTTCCATCACCAAGTGCAATGCAAAGCGGCGGATGTCATGGTGTAAAGCAACACCACCACTGGAACTGATGAATCCTGAACTCAACCCATAGAACACCAATTGGGATGAATAAGAGTGGAGCCACTGCAAGCCAGGCCTCCTCCCCCAACATCAGTGCCTGACTATGACAAATGTGCTTCTGAAAAATGGTCCAACATTAACCACTAGATGACCCTCCTAAACATTGTGGACGGCTTTCCAGAATAGTTGAAGCTGTTATAAAATGCAAGGGCGGGGCCAACTCAATATTGAACCTACGGACTAAGACTGGGGCGGCCATTAAAGGTCATGTGTGTGGAATAGGGTGGCGGCCCAATACTTGGGGCAATATATAGTGTGTGTGTGTATTAGTGGGGGCAAAAAATAAGTAATTTAGTCGCCACCATGGTGCAAGTTCTCCCACTTACAGAGATGAGAGAGGCACTGTAATTGGCACCATAGGGAGAATTTTCAACTATGAAGACAAAAAATGTGAAAAAGAAAATCCAGACAATTCTCATTGGCTGATCTGGAAATAATTTATTTGCAAATTATGGTGGAAAATAAGTATTTGGTCCCCCCCCCACCTACAAACAAGCAAGATTTCTGGGCAACTCACAGACAATGAAACCTTCTTCATTATGAGGTCTCTCTTGTCCTGCATCATTACTCTGTATCAATGGCACCTGTTTGAAACTTGTTATCAGGTATAAAAGACACCTGTCCCAAAACATCAAACAGCAACACTCCAAATCTCCACTATGGTGAAGACCTTTAAGAGCTGTAGAAGGACACCAGAAACAAAATTGTATATTAAATAGACTGCACCCAGGTATGGGGAAGACTGAATCTGAAATAGGGCATGCGAGCTTGGTTGTGTGAAACAATCAACTGTGGGGAGCAATAAATTCAGAAAAATGGAAGGACGTCAGGGGTTATAAAGTCAACTGATAATCTGTTTCCTCGATCTGGGGCTCACGCCCAAGTATCTCACCCCGTTGGGGTCAAAATTAGGCTGAATCACAAGAGGCGGTGAGCAAAAATCCCCATCGGGACCAACACGGTGGGGGACCTAGTGAATGACTGGACAGAGGAGGAACTCAATAAGGGACAAACGTATACAAAAGGCTTCCATCAGTAAAGACACACTACGCCGCCAGGGACTCAGATCCTGCAGTGCTAGTGCCCTAGGGCGTGTTTCCCCTGCTTAAGCACAGTACATGTCGGGGGGCCCGTCTGAAGTTTTGCTAGAGAGCATTTTGGATGATCCAGAAATCGAGGATTAGGAGAATGTTATATGGTCAGTTTGAAACCAAAATATTTTATAATACGCATGTTTTTAGTAGAAACACAAGTCTCGTCGTCAGTGTTTGGAGGGGAGTGAGAAAGCTGAGTTGCATCCAAAGAACACAATACCTACTGTGAAGGCTTATGGGCCAATAAGGTTTTAGTGCATTTCATCATGCTTTGGGGCTGTTTCTCCGCAAAGGGGACCAGGGTTTTACGACTGATCCATGTACAGGGACAGTAACTGAATGGGGCCAAATGTTAAGATATTACGTTCTTTATTTTGAGTTGCATAACCTTCTGATCCATCAGCATGTATAGGGAATATTGAAGGATGGAAAGTGGCATGGGTCTGGGTCTCTAAATGACATATTGATCCCAAACTTACCGCCCGACTGGCATTTTAGTAAGGAGTGGGTTTTGTAAGAAGCATTTCAAGGTCCTGGAGTGGCCTAGCCATGTCTCCAGATTGTCAACCCCATAGGAAAATCTTTGGAGGGGAGTTGAAACAAGTTCCGTCAGTTGCCAGCGACAGCCCACGAAAAACATCAACTGCTTCTAGAAGAGATCTGCATTGGAGGTTTAGGAGATCTACATGGTAGGATGGGCCAACATACAGCAACAGTGTGTTGCCAACCTTGAGAAGGACTTCAGGAAATGTCTGACCTCTGTCATTGCCAACAAAGGATTTATATAACAAAGTATTGACATGAACTTTTAATATTCACCAAATACTTATTTTCCACCATAATTTGCAGTATAAATTCTTTCAAGATCAGCCAATGTGATTGTCTGGGATTTGTTTTCTCATTTTGTCTCTCATAGTTGAGGTTCTCCCTATGATGCCAATTTACAGGCCTCTCTCATCTTTGTAAGGATGGGAGAACTTGCACCATTGGTGGCTGACTAAATACTTTTTTGCCCCACTGTATGTATTAAATAAGGGGTATACTAGGAGAAAGTGTATTGTTCTGGAGCAGATGGTTTCGTGGAGGTGACAGAAATACCTGTTTTACATTGGAGGGGTTGATTGAGGGTCACCTGCTGGACATTTGGACCTTCATATGTATTTCTGCTACATACAGGCCCTCCACCATTGTAAAAACTGCTTCTAAGATAAGACTCTTTTTACTGTGTGGGGAAAAATACAAACATGATTGGGGAAATATCTGAATGAGTACTGTCACGGATCGCTCGGCGTCAGAACCCCAGACACTTCTCACCCTAACTTGTGACCGAAAAGGACTAGCCTGATCTAAAACCGCAATTTGACGTGCGTTAACAATGTGCACCCCCCCCCCCCCAACCAGCACATTGATTTTCCAGCTAATGGGCCACAATCGATGTCTACGGCAGCCTGGGCGATTGTTACTGGGTTTAGGTTAATTACGCAATTAACCACTTCACAGACTGCCACCCACCTCCTAAACATTTGGACCAGAGAAAGATAGAAGAAACTCAGCGTTATCAGTATGACACTATATTGAGATAATCATCTGTATAAAACGGTTCATAACACAGGAGGTGGAGTTTTAAACAAGGGTCTCGTAGCGCCTCTTTAGAGGCAGGGATTCGTTAAATTTGCAATACAGATCTTTAGACACAGTTCAAACACTTTAGAAAGAAAGATTTATTACTAAAAAAGGTCAAAGGGTGCAATAAAAATATTTACAGTAAATTACCTGAAATTACCTAGTGCATATTATTTCCAAAAAAATTATATAGATGTCAAAATTGGGGTACATACAGCACCTATATTATTTCAATAAATAATTGTGCGTGAAATATCAGTGTAAATCAAAATAAATAAATAAACACAAAAGTCTCTTTCAATTATGTTCAAAAGTTCAAAAATTAGGAATGCCACGCCCAAGATCCACATGCAAAAGTGATCTTTAGTATGCGCTCGCATTATGTTGTGATAAGTCTAAGTTATTTATAGGCAAAAAAAAACGCTTTTTGTCCTGATCATGAGATGGGACTGATGAGACCATATTCCTCCTTATGTGAAATTCTCCAAATATTAAATGGACAGTTTGTAATTTTGATTTTATTCCAACCTGGGGTCTCTCCAAAAAGATCAGTAAGTATGCTGATTGTAAAGGACATGGATGGATGGATGGAATGGATGGATGGATATCTCCCCTTATTCCCCTCCCAGGGGTCTCCTTCTCTCCTCTCCTAGCTCTTTTCTGTTGTATTTCAAGGTGGAATGTTACAAGAGACAAATTACAAAAGACATGGTGCACCTTATCCTTTTTTTTTAAATATATAGTTTATTACAATCGATCTTCCATCTCACATACTATGTATTATTTTTTTCATGTGCTGAAATGGTGAGAGCATTAGCCTGCTTTTAGCAGTTTCTGCTATTATTCCGTTGCTGAATCGAGACATTCGTCGTGGACGATCAGAGAACCTTCCCGCGACGTCACAACAAATATGCGGCTTATCACGGAACTGGGCTTTTTTTCGTGGGGCCGCATATTTGGCGTACATGTCATTTGTGTCAAGCCTGAGAGCACAACCGGGGTCCCATTCTAATGATCGGGACCCGGGACTCCCGGTCCCGGGTCACATGATCGCTGTGATAGCCTCGATTGGCTATACAGTTGATCAGTCACTGTGCAGTCCGTCCTACCTTGTGTTTTTTTCTCTCTCTATGAATGGAGAAGAGAGATACATTGTATCTCTTTGAACTCTGGCAGAGAGAGAAAAAAAATGTTTGCAAAAAAAAAAAAAGAAGATAAATAAATAGTAAAAATTAAAACTGAGAAAATAAAGAAAATTACCTAGATCAAGGTTTGATCTTTAGTTACACTGCCAGGGTTAGTGTTTAGGTCAGGGTCAAGGTCAATGGTCAGGGTGAAAGGTCAGGATATTTAAAAAAAAAAATATTGGTGTGTCAGTGTGCTGCTTTAGGTAAAAAAAAAAAAAAGACAAAAACAAAATGCGCACTATTGTTTATGAGGCTGTACTACGGGTACAAACAACAAAAATATAAACATATATGGTTATCGGCTGCGATTGTCAAGAGCTGGAGAATTTATTTTGGGTTGGTTCTTTGGTGGTAGGTTATGGTCGTAACAAGAAACACACAGCTAAATTAAAAAAAAAAGGATTTTTTTTTTTTTTAACTATTTTGGGACAGTTTTACTTTGATAATAAAATCAGGAGATATCACATTACCATTTGCCACCAAAATAAAAGGCCCATTTTGTAACTGAAAAAAAATCGCAGTTATAATCCAACACTGGATGTACAAAGTAGTTGTGGTGATTGAACCGGTTTACTATCACATGTTCTTGAACATTGCAGAAATTGTGGCTTAGGCGTTTAGATTTGTTTTAAACTCAGGCGTGAAGGGGTTAATATTTTAGGTACAGATGCCTTTGTCTGCAATTACAGAGGTCAGACGTTTACTGTAGTCCTTGGCCAGGTTTGCACTGCAACAGGGATTTTTGGCCGACTCCTCCACAAACAGATCTCCTATAGGGATCTGTCAGGTTTCGAGGCTGTCGCTGAGCCAACACGGAGAGTTTCAGCTTACCTCCAAAGATGTTCTATTGGATTTAGGTAGGTTGGAGATGGCTAGGCCACTCCAGAACCTCGATCTATGCTTCTTAAGGGGCCAATAATCCTTGGTTCTCCTGGATGTGTGCTTCGGGTCG